CGATAATTTTGACCTCATCTCCTATGTAAACGCTAGAAGGACATCAACTCTCATTCGATGTAAACCTAAAACCAACGCTCCTCCAGCCCTCTCGCAAGCTTAAACTCATCCTTCCTTCAGCTCAAAACTCCAAATCAGCCATTCCGCATGTAGACGCTGGATTTCGCAAGCTCCAAACACAACTGCTGGAAAACGAGGCAAAAAACATCTGACAACCAGTCGCAGCATCACGTAGACGCTAGACAGCCAAGAAACCCCCCAGCCTGCAACGACAACATCAGTAATGCGCTGAGATGCGCTGAGAACTGTTTTTTGCCATGTTGGTCGCCGATTCACATGAAAAAAACCAGCGACGCGAGATAAAGCGACCCCTCGTAGTACCCAGGACCTCGATTCGACCGCGATGTAGGGACAAGCGACTTTTCAAGCTGGGGCATCGGAATGAACGGGGGAGACCATCATGTCGTCAAACGTGCGTACCCCGTGTTCGAGATGCTTGGGAGACCGAGTGGAGACCGCTTAAGCTAGGTATGCTAGGTGCTCCAGATTTGGCAACTTCGGCCTGCTGTTCGCGGGCGCGCTCCAAACATTCGCTGAGTACTCGAAGGTGAAGACCAGCACACTGAAGAGCTCGAAACCATTGAGGACATAGCTTCCTGCTGCCTGTCAGACTCTGTAAAACTGCAGGCAGACGTGTCCCTATGCGAGATCGAAGACAGGCTGCCTCTTTCACCCAAGACATGCTCTCGGCAATCACAGCCAACACGTTGAAAATGATCAGGAGGAACATCGCCTGAGGTAAGCGATCGAGCAAGCTGCACAATCGAGGGAACTTGGGATTAATGCCTTCTTGCACAAACGGCCGGCGGTCGTCTTCTGCTCCAGGAACTTGACCATACGCAGCTTGTAAGGGTTGTCCTCGCTCTCTTGAGCATGAGAAGGATGGGAATGATTACGTGCACGGTGCAAACCCTGCTCCTTGAAAGCTTTGTCTTTCAACTCGCGCAACACTGTCTTCTGCGCCTAGTGCATATGGGACTTAAAGATGGACTGCCTGAAGAGGCCACAGCCGTCACAGCCTGAACGCGGGTGGCAACCTGCCGAAGACGGCGTCTTCGAATGTACTGCCGAAGTGCCTTTGCAGCAACACGGAGCGCGGGCCGCACGCAGAAATGGCGTTCTTCTTGCCTTCTCGATTTTTGTAGCGGCTTCTTCTCTCAGCCGTCTCTGCTCTTCGCGGTACTTCGTGAGCTCCTGTAGGATGGACTGCCCGTTCCGGTTTTGCAACAAACAGTTACAAGTGCCGCTGTATCGTTCAGGTGCCAAAATGTCCTGTGCAAAGCCCGACGCAAGCAAGCCTGTTGGAACTGCTACAACCTCAAGGACAATCCAGGCGAGGCATGGGCTTCTGGGTGAAAACAGATGGGGCTAGCACTCCCACACAGACACACAAAAGAAATGAATCTTGCAGATTTCTGATCGAAAGCAAATGGCAGCATTTGGTACGCTTGGCGGCTGACCCCGACTGCGAAGAGCAAGGCAACAAACAGAACGCACTTGGCAGGGAAGTCGTAATCGATCAACGGATAGTCTCCTGCAAAATTACTTCTTGTCACAGCCCATTGCCGAGCTTCTGCTAAGGAATGTGCCTGTCAGATGGACCAGTGTGTAGGGCCTGAAAGGAGTCCCCAAAAGGTCCCACGAAACGGGTGTTACACCATCGACGCGACTCGGCACGGCACGGATCCAACAACACATGAGGGCACGACATGGCTTCTGGCATGCTGCCATATCGCTGAGCCATGGTCAGGTCGTCAACCTGGCAACTATCACCGGCTGGAGATGAGCTATGGCTATTCACACAATTCTTTATGCCTGTGTCGGATCATGCCGCTCGGTGAGCCACATGAGGGCAGAGAAGATCAGCCAAATCCTCGATGCTTCCGACCACCCGCCTTTCGCTGCTACCTGGGGTCCCTGAGCGCGCGACGCCGCAGCGGCATAGGCAGCCAGCTGAAACTCCTATATAGGCATAGGCGGTTAGCCCAAGAGCATGGTGCAAAGCCAGCAAGGGAGTGTCCTTGGAATGCTTCCGGAACACACGGCCGATGAGGGACCTCAGCTTGTGCACACAGGAGTAGTCCAGGAGTAGGGGGTTGTAGACACCCTCAGGAAACGCAAAGCAGTCTTTCGGAACGCCTTGTCATCCACCCTGGGCACTCTGCACTACCCGATCCCTTGTATGAATGAGTGCCAGGCACAGAAGGGATATACTTGTCCAACGTCAACCTCAGGCCAGAGCCATGGAATGGAAGAACTCAGTACAGTTCTGCGACTGGCAGCAAGCCCGACTTGAGAGCAGGGCAAACGG